CATGCTAGGAGCTTGCCTCTCCGATGCTAACGCCAGCTTATGCATGCTAGTCACTAGCTTCTCTGATGCTAATGCCAGCTTATCCATGCTAGTTGCTAGCCTCTCCAATGCTAACCCACCTGGTTCATTGGTTCCACCTGGGCGTTGTGTTACCATGGTGACACCCACCTGTAGCTGCAGGTARAGGTGGTCCCACTGATGAGGATCAGTTCTGATCCTGGACCTCTGAGATCCTGAGAGAGCAGCAGGAACCAGTTTTGGTTTCCTCACTGGTACCTGTTGAGTCTTTGTTCACTTGAGGTTTTTTTAGAATCATGTGAGAACCTAGTCCTGGTCCTGGTTGGTCCTGGAACCCTGGAACTGAAACAGGTGGACCTCATCCCAGGACTAGTTTCAGGACTGGACTCTGTCTTGATTCAAACAGGCTAAATGAAAATAAAAAATCAGTTTTTGTGCAGAACAAACCAAAAACCCTGAATCTTTTTTTCCTCTAAATCAAAGTAAAGAAGTTCTGCAGGGTCCAGACTACAGGAGTCTCGGCCCGACTTGACCCAGATCTGTCCCTCCAGATGTTTGCAGCAGAAATGGTTCCAGGTCTTTAGCTGGTATCAGGTTCAGATCAGAGACTGTTAGTGTGAAAAGCATCAGGAGGTAATGAGCTGTGAGTCAAATCTCCTGAACGTGTTTCTGTTTGTTGGTTTTTCTCTCTGAAGTGTTGTTTACAGCAGGTCACATGACTCGATGCTGAATTACCCCTGATTGCCCCCATCTGTCGGACCGCTCTGTTTTATGCCCCAATTATTTAGAGTTTTGTAACATAAAGAAGCTAAAGATGAAAGAAAAGCTTCATACTTTGGTTTATTTTCCTGGTGTCAGACAGAGGAGTTGGTTTTCCTTCATGTTTGACCTCTGATGACATTTCCTCTGTATCTGATCAGCGGGTCACAGGCTGACGAGCGATCTGCTGACCCGCGGTCCCACGACTCGGCACAGCTGACTGCAGCATCAGTGGCTTCTTTGTTGCATCAAAATGAAATTAGTGTTGGAATCCAGTGAGACTCAGCTGCTGCTGCTGCGTTCAGGCGTCCTGCTGCAGAGTCAGAGCGTTCCTCACTCCAACAATGAGCCTCCTTAAAGAAGGCCTTTGGTGAACTGTTAGTGTGAGCAGAAACATTATCACCCACCTTTACCTGTCAGCAGCAGCATCATCATCATCATCATCATCATCATCATCATCATCATCCTCTGAGGAAAGGCTGTCTGTTCAGTTTTTATCTTTCAGTTCCTCAACGACTTTCCTCCATCATCTGTGGTTAGACAACTCTGTCTGTGTGTGTGTGTGTGTGTGTGTGTGTG